CTTTGCTGGACAAACAAGGCTTTCACAGTGGCTCCATAAAGTTAGGACAATTCCAAGGGCCACTGGACAACAGGGGGCCCCCCACAAAATAGTTTTTTTTTTTTTAAATAGAAATGAAAAAAAAAATTGGGGCCCTGTCAATTACAAAATTAATCATATTGTGTTTTCTAAAATTGTTTTTAGCAGTAAAAATGTAATGTTACCACTCCCAGACCAAAAAGCACAAGTGTCAATTTGTAATAGTTTTTTCCTACAAGAGAGGAGAGTAGACTGTGTGAGATTATCAACCACAGGGTTTCCCCCAATGTTTTTTTTAAACCGGATTACAAGCGTCTCTGTTGCTCTGAGCATTTCACTAGCGGAGCAGATTTATTCCTAAAGGACAGGTTTATAATTGTCCTGTAAACTGTGGGTGTTTTATTTTGCATGGCGCACTGCTGCCATCTGTTGGACTTTTGGGGAACTGCTTTTACTTTTGTGTTGTTTAGCCAGTTCGGTAGTTAGCTAGTGATAGGACAGATGAACACGTCTGTTATGATCGGCGCATTCCAGGTCGAGTTCGTCGAAGCAAAGCCTGTAAGTTGCTATTTATACATCAAACAATATGTTGACATATGAGAAAGAAGTAACTTGCTTATTGAATTTATGTTTAATTAGTTTTGTAAATACCTGCGGGCGATTTGAGTATGTTCTACATAATTGCTAACTAGCAGGCTGCTAAGTTTTCTTAGGCCGTTATGTAGCATTGCAGCTCATAGCATTCCGAGCTAGCTATTGTATCAGTTGTTATACTTCTAATGTATGAAACTGAATGTTAACACTTTTGTTTTCTGCTCTGAGCTCATCCTGAGTTGTTTGTGTTTTGGCAGTTTCACTCCAAATAAAGGAAGATCTAATTAATCCTGACTCGTGTAAAAGGAGTTTGGCTGATGGTTAGTTTTGGTACAAGACGCCAAAGCGAGACCATTACAGTGAAAAGGCTTTGGAATCAGCCGAAACTTCGTCTGGAATCATCATGGATGATCATTACAGTGTGTCTCAAGTCAGCACAGGAAGCATACGTTCATCTGCATCACAGGTCAGCAGGGCTGCGTTAGCCCGCGCCAAAGCAGAAGCAGCACGTGCACGCGCATCTTACGCTGAACGAGAAGTACAACTTAAGCTGAATAAAGTGAAATTGGAAGCAGAATTGGAGTCCCTGAGCTTGCAGCGAGAGGCAGCAGCTGCCGATGCAGAAGCTGACATTCTGGAGGCAGCTGAGTGCAACAGTGGCCATTTTTCTGTTATGCAAAGGAGTAATGCACCAATACATGCTGAATCAGCAGAACACACATTGGAATATATTGAAGGACAAGCAAAGCATCAAGTCGACCTACAAAGTAAAGATTCCCTAAGCAACATACCACATCCAAAGGATGACTTTCCAAGAGAGAAAGTATCGAGCACCAACGTCACACATGAGCCAGTCAGAGTAAGTCAAAACATGGAGATGTTTCAGAACTCTTACAGGGAAATACCTTCAGGCTTATGTGCAGCTACCCACACCCAGTCATTACCCTCCAGCAACAGGAGATGATCGTGATAGGGCACCATTAAGACATCCACGCTACCCTAATCCAGCAGCTCGGCCCTATACATCACCAAATGTTACCAGCTCACATCCCCAAAGTCACAGAGACTCAATGTTTGACAT